GACCAGGACCAGAGAAAGGACCAGGACCAGGACCTGGACCAGAGAAAGGACCAGAGTCCAGAACCGGGACCGGGACCCGGACCCGGAAGCCTCGCGCTGGTTCTGGGTGCAGCATGACGCGCGTGAGCGTGGAGCCGTGGGGGGGGGTGCCCGGCCTGGGGAACGTGGACCTGTGGCGGCTGGAGACCCCCCAGGTGCAGGTCCAGGTCCTGACCCTGGGGGCCACCATCAGGGCCGTGCACTGCAGGGGCGCGCACGGGCGCGTGCACGACGTGGTGCTGGGATACGATGACCTGGAGGGTAAGAATCAGAACCAGAAATACTTTAATAATCCCAGAGGGAAATTCTTTTTGTTACAGGCTCCATAAGTAAACAAAGACATATACATACATATATATATATCTATCTATCTATCTATATATATATATATATATATATATATATATATCAACCCCCCAGGGCTGACCAGGTGTTTTACCTGGTCATTTGTTCCTGGTCAGAGCCTTTGGAGACTCCATAGACCAGAAACATCACTCACTATTAGAGCTGATGGATATCAATCAATCAATCGTTTATTTATTCAGTTCAATTAAATTTTATTTATATAGCGCCACATCACAACAACAGTTATCTCACAGCTTTCCAAACAGAGCAGGTCAGACCTACTCTGAAGTTAATTACAGAAACCCAACAATTCCCACCATGAGCAGCACTATGCGACACAGGCAAGGAAAAACTTCCTTTAACAGGCAGAAACCTGGAGAAGAGGTTATATAGCAGAGGTTATATAGCACTTTACAACAACCGGAGCTGGCCAAAGTGTTTTACAGAATAAAAACAGATCAAAATATCGAAATATGAAATATACAAAGACAAACACATTGGTGACAGAACCCAGTATACAGAGATTTAACGTGCAAAAAGGTGATCTGATCAAGATTCAAGGAGAACTCCTACTTTCAATTACTACCATACATCTATTATATTCTAGTCTGTTCTATTACGACATATTCTATTCTATCCTGATAGATTTTACACCAAAATATTCAATTTTATTATTTTCCATTTCATTGCCTTCTGATCCATTCATTTTCTTTCAATTGTTTTCTCTATTATTTTCCATTCTGTTTAGTTTCATTCCATTCCATTCTTTTCTATTCTATTCAGTTTAGTTTGACTCTTATATCATAGTTTATTCCTAATAATAACTCTAATAATAACTTCTAATAGTCTGTTCTATACCATTAAATGATCCCCTTTATATTCTACTTTATCCTCCTCCATCCGGTTCTGTCCTGTTTCACGTCTTTAAAGTTAAACTCTGTTCCCTTTCAGTCTTTTCAATGATGAATTTAAGTTATGTCCTTTCTTGGTGAACTTTAAAAGAGCTTTAAAATGTAAAATGATCAAATCTTACGCTGTTATGTAGATCTATATATGTACTATGTACTTGAATCTGAATTTGAAGAAATCCTGGTAGGTTGTAAGGTAAAAAATAGGGTAGGCAAGAATAAGCTTTGCTTCAGCCTATTCCTTTTTTGGTAAACTGTGGGTTTGTCTATTGTTTTCTTTTTTTCTTTTGTTGTTTCTTGTGTTTAATGTGGACAATTTACCAAAATAAAGTGATTGATTGATTGATTGATTGGTTGATTGATTGATTGATTGATTGATATTCTGTCCTGTCCTACTGGTCAGAAATGTCCAGGCTCTGGTGGAGCAGCAGCCTGAGCCCTCTGGGATTATTAAAGTATTTCTGGTTCTGATTCTGGTTCTGATTCTGGTTTCCAGGCTATGTGGCAGACAGACGCTACTTCGGCGCCGTGGTGGGCCGCGTGGCCAACAGGATAGCGGGGGGGCGCTTCACAGTGGAGGGAAAAGAGTATCAACTGGACATCAACAGTGGACCCAACTCCATCCATGGAGGCCTGAGGGGCTTCAATAAGGTGAAAATGAGGGAATATATGCATTAAATAATCCAAAACAATCGGTTTGAATACGGAACACTGGGACTTTGTGGAGCTTTCTGCTGCAGAAAGGCTGAAAATGTAAATGTACAAGCACTTATAACGCTCTTTTCTAGTCACGCTGACCACTCAAAGTGCTTTACATTGTGTGTCATTTACTGTTCACACACATTGAGTCGGTCAGAGTATAGAAATATTATCATAAATATGGAGAACTCACTATTTATGCAGCATTTCTTAACTCATATGAAGCCAAAATGACAAAGTGACCATGGGGTTCAGAGCCTTTATTACAGAGCATTTATTTACATAAATGTATTTGTGAATAAATTATTTTGTCATTTAAAACCATTTCTAGATGTTGTTTTTGCCGTTTTATAGAAGGATACAACTTTTAAGATGTTTGAGGTGTCACTAAAGCCCAAAAAATAGCATCAAAGACACTTCTCTGCTTGAACTGTATCTTTTCACAAAAAGCTCCTTTTCTCCATTTATTGGTCAAAAACTGGTGTTTTTGTTGAAACCAACCTATGTTTTACTCCTGATTACTAAAGAACGGAATAAGGTACAAACACATTTTTTTTCCTGATGAAAGAAGAGAGTCTACTCTTTCTTTTGGTGTGTTCGGTGTTTACATAGTCATAGCACAAACTATTCTGTGGCTCTAGAAAAATCAGTCAAAATGCTCAAAATAACTCCGTCTGCAGGCCATCTGGGAGGCTTCGGAGGTGGAGGGGGGGGTGAAACTGAGTCTGACCAGTCCAGACGGAGACCAGGGCTACCCCGGGGCTGTGGACGTCTCTGTGACCTACACTCTCCAGGTGAGCATGCTTAATTGGTTGATAGTCCTGCTTTGATTTAAGTTTTTGCACTAATAACCCGACTCAAAATGCGTCCATAAGGAGGAAACACTAACCGCTGAGTATCGGGCCCGGTCCACCAAAACCACCCCCATAAACCTCACCAACCACTCCTACTTCAACCTGGCTGGACAGGTGAGTGGTCAGGAGGGGGGTGGGGCTAGAGGATGGACCTAAGGGTCCAGATGTGTGTGTTTCTACCTTATTCCGTTCTTCCTGGACTTGCGTCTCACCGGCGACATGTTCTCTCATAGAACCGTTCCCTTTTTCTTATTTGCCTACAGTCTATGCTCATCTCCCATCAAAAGTGGCACTGCCCCCTAGAGGCTCAATTTGTTACTACATACTCTGTCTAGAAGCCTGATATTTACGGACAAGCTTTAGCAGATCGTCCCCCAGACACTCTGGTTAAAAACATAAAAGACCTCTATAGATGTCTTTGGCAGCCAATGAGTTAACAATAATGATAAACTTTATCAGGATGGACCTAAGGGGCCAGATGTGTGTGTTTTGTGTGTGTTTGGGTGCAGGAGGAAGAGGACATCTACGGCCATCAGGTGTCCATCAGGGCAAACAGTTTCCTGCCCGTAGATGACCGCAGCATTCCTACAGGTACAGCCCTATTGTGTTGAAGTACAAAACAAAACAAACATTCAACCATTGATTATTATGCAGAAGAAAGCAATACGAGTAAAAACGAATAACAAACATTATAGAGATCACACTCACTGTTTGTTCCCGGATTCAAGGGTTCTGAAATTTGTAGACCTGATCGATTTCAAAACTGCTCAAATTCTTTATAAAGCAAGAAATAAATGACTTCCTGCACACATACAACAATTGTTTACAGATAGAGATGGAAAATATAATCTAAAAGGAAAATTTAATTTCAAAACTAAGTATGTTCGAACAACAAAAAGAAGCTTTAGTTTATCAGTTAGTGTTAGAGTGAAAATATTAAACAATGTAAAAGCATCCAGCAATTCAAAAAAGAATATAAGAAAAGTATTTTTGATGAATACAAAAAAGAATAATGTATAAAAAGTTATACTCCTTTTTTAAACATGATGCATGTTTAGGAAGCATTCTATGTAAACATTGTAAAATCATATCATGTTTCAAAATAAACGAAATGAAAATGAAATGAAAACTAAATTAAAACTAAATGAAAATGAAATGAGGCAGCTCAGGATGATGCTGCAGATATCAGGACGTAGTCTGCTTTGATTATGAGACAGAATTAGCTGACATTTTTTCAACTTGTGAAAAGCAAAAACAGAAAATTCTGCCTTTTTCTCATTTTCCAAACATGGAAAAATGAGGAATAAACTGGTGAGAGGGGTCCTTTGGTTTAGTTTGAACTTTAGACACATTTCTGTGTGTCAAGTTTTCCGGCCTCTACAAACCACCTTAGCTTCTGCCCAAAC